GTAGTGGGTAGTGGGTAGTGGGTAGTGGGTAGTGGGTAGTGGGTAGTAGTAGTAGTAGTAGTAGTAGTAGTAGTAGTAGTGGTAGTTGTTGTTGTTGTTGTTGTTGCCCGTGGTTTTTGGCCAGCCCGTCGGCGGGCCGGTTGAAGCGTTGGTTTTTGGGCCGGCCGCCCATCTGGCGGGCTGGCTGGCTGATGGAGAAATAGCGGTCCGCGTTAAGTTCGCAACGCAATGAGAAGTTCACAGAGTATCCTACTCGAAGTCCTCTGCCCTTCCGCCTAAGAGGCAGTGATCAACAAACATCCACTCTACTGGACGGGGCGCCAGAACAAATTCACCTTCTTCAGTTTGGGCCACCGTGCTCGTTGCAGCGCTCCCCATGCATCGCTGGGAATCGCATAGCAATTTTCCAGAATAAGCTCCTGCGAATGCAAAGGAGCAACTGGGCTTGGACATGCTTGTGCAATGTGCAATGGGCAAAGGGGCAAAGGGCTCCTCCAGCTCTTCGCTCGAAGCCAAGGCCACCAAAAGGTCTTTGGCTCCTTTCGCGCCTATGGTTTCATCGTCGAAGCACCTCAAGGACATGGACCTGCTTAGACATTGAAAAGCCCAAAGGCAATCGAACCCTCAGAACATCTCACAACCCTCAGCAAGTCTTTCGAGCTTAGAAGATCCAAAATGAAGTTGCCATGCTAAAAGGCTTGCGAATCACTCCTGAAGCTTTAAACCCACACAGTTTCCTGCTCAAAGTCCATGCCCTTCCGCCTAGGAGGTACTGATCGACAAACATCCGCTCTACTGGACGGGGCACGCGTTCAAATCCACCTTCTTCAGCTTGGGCCACTGTGCCCTTTGCAGTGTTCCCCATGCATCGCTGCGAATCTTACAGCAACATGGCAGAAGAAGCTCCTAGAATACATCGTGGACTCCCGGTGGCAAGCATGCAGTGATCCAAAAGAAGTTTTTTGATTCGCCTTCACGCCGCTAGGTCTCTCTCCCATCTTGTTTCCCGGCCCTCTCAGCAGCCAGGTCCTTTGACTTCCTCAAGCTGAAGGTTATCCATGGTTCACAGCTTTAGGCTTCCGCTTCCTTTTCTCGCCTAGCCTCCTTTTCCCACGAAGAGTGTCTAGACGAGTCCAAGCCCGGGTCACATGACTGAACGGAGAGAGGTTGAAGCGTCATACGATATTAAATTAAAATAAGGGAGCTGTACATGACCACAGCCCCAAAATAACCAGCTGAGAAACTCAGCCTGAGTTGACAAACATCCTGGCTGCATGAAACGCGACTGCCCGCCTAATTGACGGGACAAGGAGCTGAGCAAGCGTCTGGCAAAGCAAAGTCAGCACTTGTCCAAAGTGGGTTAACTCATCGGGGGGTGAAGGTGACATGGGTTGCATCAAACTGTAGCTGCTGCTTGCCACTGCCATGAAGGTTGCCCCCAAATGCGGCCAGCATGGTACTGCCCGTCGAGGACCAACTCTTCGAAAGAAATTTGGAGGTTCAGCATAGAAAGGCTGACGGTTTCACTACAGCTGTGAGCTGTTCAACAAGTTCGGCGTCCAAACATGGAATCAAGGAGAGAGCTTGCGGGGTAGCCTGCCCTCGCAACGCCTGGCGTGGAGACTGGTCAAGTCAACACCATGCCACAGGTTAGCTACTGTGGAGAGACTGCTGGCAGCGACGGAGATGACGATGTCGGTGGGGTGCCAGCTAGCGCATTAAAAGCCCACACTGCCACGTCTGAAGTTTTCTCAGAAAGATTGGGCGCTGGTCCGCTCTGGCCGCCCAACAACAAGGCTCCAAGGATAAAAGCGGTGCTTTCAAATAGCCAGCCGCAAAACCATCGCTTGGTACTTAAAATTTTATTGTTACTGATGCTTTAACCTGCCAGGCAGCTCCATTTTGGAGCTGCTAAGAAGCTGCCAGCAGCTTCGTTTTGCTGCTGCTAATACACGTTTACGCTCAAGCCTTTTCTGCCTCTTTCAAACAACAGAACGCTGCCCCTGCGCTTGCCTGCGCAAGGCAAAAAACAAAGCTGAGTTTGCTTGCACAAGGCCAAGAGCCGAAGGATTCGAAAAATTGCCAAAATGCCTGCGCAAGGCAGAAGCTTGCAATTTCCCGCAGGAGGTCACAGTGCGCTGTTGCCTGCATAAGGCAAGAACTACCCTATAGGTTCTCTGGTTTTGCAGGTGTGTTGGCGCTCTTCTCTGGCCAACTCCCACCACCGGCTGACACTGGTCCATGAGGTGAGTTTGGTATTGACGACAGCTCTCGTCTGACAAAAACCCACATACCCACTCTACATGAACCGTTTTGCAATCAGCCATAGTAAACAACGCCGTGCGCAAAAGGAGCGTCTTCTTTGTATCCACTCGCGTAGTGAACATTCTTCATTCAGCAGCACTATTCCCGGGCCCGGGCCTGACTCAGATGCTGAGGGCTGCTCCTGGGCGCAAAGAGCCTGTTGGTGGCTAGAAGGAAGCGCTTCAAGGTTTCCAACCACAACCAGCAAAGACTCTGCGCAAATCCGCAGGCTGTGTCTGCAAAATCCTGGCGTAAAAGCCGCTTTCATTCTGGACATTCACCTGTTGACCTCCCATGTTGGCGATGCGAAGACGGCCCTGGGCATCTGACGCCGTACGCCGCCTAAAATGAAGGGGTCTCGGGCCTCCCCCAAGGGGACATGTGGAGAGCGAGCAACTGTTGAGCATGGTGGGCCGCCCAACACAACAGCAACCAAGCCTTCTTCCACTAGCTGCTGCATCACTGAGTGGGAGGTTTGTGGATTTGCAAAATCCCAGAGCGGATCATACGGAAGGTCAATGGAAATCATGCACACTCAAAAACGATCTTCACCCCATCATGTATGTCACCCCTACATCCTTCACCACTAAAGAAATTCATCGCCGCCATGCTTCTCCTGTCTTGACTGCTTCAGCATGGTCGCACCACTCTTTCAGGTTCAAGCCAGAACCTCACGGCCACCCCTGCATTCATCTGGACAGCTGACATCTAGCTCAACCTGAGCGTTGTCATTCAAGCATTGCGCTGCTGGAGGAGTGTCGAAGTTGCTTTCCTCTTGCGCTACGCATCACCATGCGCCCGA